GCTGGATGCGCCTATAGGGTTTTCGTCTCTATTTTTTTAATTTACGTTGTAAAGGTATCATCTAGAATTTCTCTTTGTTCTAAACAGTTGTTCAAATTTTTATGTTATGTTACATTGAATATATTTTATTTTATCTTCATTTCACAGGCACTTGTCTCTATGAAAATACTCTATATACCTTTACAAATTAATATACGATATATGTGTGTATATGTTAGAGACAAGTGTTTGTGCTGTTTTCAGAACTGTCAGACTTTTGATGTCATATTAAGGATATTTAAATATGAAACAAAAACCACAAAAAATAATGTTTTACAAATATGCTCCTATATAAAGGCGTCGTATAGTACTTGTTGAATGTATATGTTGTTCCGGTTAAAAAATGAATGAAATAAATGGGATATTTAAATCATAGTGATATATTTATAAAATAGGAACATGATATTGACGACATAGTTATATACCCAAAAAGCCTTACATATTCTTAAATGATATTAAAACTTACTACTTCGAAAAACTTAAATAATAACAAATCTTTCTTATGACAATTTTGTAACTTAACATATCTGTACCTATGTTATGCGTTATCTGTATGAGAGATTGGTGGATCGATTTTCTGCTTAATTGTTGTTTTTAACGCCACGTGTTAAATATTTCATGCATATTTTGGACGATGTAAACTTAACAATACACCTTTGACGTGTGTTTAGCAAAGTGGCTCGTCTTGGACAAAGGGCAGGAACTTTGACAGCTGCTGGACAATGAAGACATTTTAGCAAGGGGCATATACTATGTCTTACATAAGGAAAAATACAACAACTCAAAGCCTTGTTGTAATTGTTTTAACTCGCAGATTGCATATAAGTGTACCTACACGAGGGATCGGATATAAAGTCCCGAAATCCATTATTAGGGGAGTGTGCAAGCTGTGCTATATACAACTATGTCGGTTGATGAAATAAGAATATACCTCATGAGTACTATTAATTAAACTCACCATTGACACCAGCATTAAATCTTTGTACGCCAGCCGTGCGTTTCTTCTACAAAATACTCAACAGTGCTGCTCGAATCAAAACATTTTAAAAGGTCAAATAAATTATGAAGTTGAATAGCTTTTAGGGTTAAAAATTCCGAAAAGTTTTGCGAAATACAGCTTAGTTAATCTATTCCTGGGGTATACAATCCTTGGTATTTAAAAAAATACAAAGCAAGAATATTCAAACCATAAACAAATGAAAGAGAAACCTCAAGTTATCGAGGTATTCTGTTTCTATTACGTATTAAAAGTAACCTTAATAAGAACCACGTTATTTTAAAACTTTATCCTATACAACCAATGTCAAATTATAGAAAATCAAATATTTTCTAAATTCAAAAGCAAAACGGCGTTTAAAGTACAGATATATAAACATAAGAAGATGTGGTATGATTGCCAATGAGATCACTCTCCACTAGAGACCAAATGATATAGCAGTTTACGACTATATAGGTCACCGTAATGCCTTCAACAGTGAGCAAAACCCATACTGCATGGTATAAAGTACAGATATGCAGCGCCAAAACTCCTAAAAAATACAAAGCTTATAGCTTGTTCCACCAGATGCTTATAGTAAAAATGCCAAATTAAATACGGTGTTAAAGTCGAAAATCCAAAACGATTGTGCCAGATACGACTAAGGGAAACCATGCCTTGGGGGTAGAAAATCATTTGTTTTTTATTCAAGTAATTCATGATTCTTCACAAAAAACAAGCCATTTCATTTAAATTTTTTAACTTAAAGTCGTATACTAGAACAAACAGTTACTATTCTAACTGATTGTAACTGTATCAGTTTGGTCTTTTCAAGCGATATATCAGGTACCGTCGTATAACCATCGGATTTCAAATTAAAAATGTAAAGAAGAAACCAAATGGATTGAAATACAATACGATGGATTTGCACCATGACATCAATGCATTGTTGTGATGTCATATCATTTCAATCCGTGAAGCCTAGTGTATATCGAAACATTTTCTATGCCAAGGAATCGGATTATGGTGAAAATCTTTAATAGAACTAATCAACGAAAGAGAAGTTCAAGTTTTAAAAAAATGTTCTAGTCTGCGTGACTAGGCTTATACCATGTATACAGTATGTATCATATCCGCCAACAAGTGTGAAGAATAAGGTATTAAATGCTTATATTGATTTAACTGGATTTTAGACAATTTGTAGTATTTAGAAAACTGTAGGACTTACTGCATGGATTGAAAGGCAACCATAATTTCTTATCATATATAATAGTCGCTGACTAAATGTCCGTTTTCACATGTACCACTTCAGCCCACTTTTTATTGTGTGGAATTCGATGACTGTATGAGGGTCTGGGTGGGGTTTACAGAGTATAGAACAATAGACACAAAGTGCAGAATAAATGGCTGAGAAAATAAAGAATAGATAAAATTAGGCAAAACAAATATAGAAATTATGAACAATGGGATGGTAGATGTAAAGAATAGATAATGATAGGCAACATTACTAAAGAATAGCGAAAAATGGTATAAACAATAACAGAATAAAGAAATGATGGACCTCCTATCCAGACTCTCCTGTATGAACAAATATTATTGATTTGTAAAGAATGTGTCCCTATTAAAAAAACTAATATGGGATTTTCAGAACTAATGCCATAATTTGATCGACAATTTTAGTAGTAGCAAAAGATCTTAATTTGTATTTGGCGTTTTTAAGCAGAAAAAAAGGAACATATAGGGGTAAGATCAAAACTAGAAGGCTTGGAGGCAAAACAATAGTGTCATATCTTCCTGTTGACTTTCATTCTCTTAGTTTGCAGGTTTCAATCTCAATATGCATTACAGCCAAAAACAATTCATGTCTCAATTTGTCGTGACTGCTCTTTGAACAACAATCCGCATAGATTATCGGTTTACTACACATTGATATTTTACGATATCTATATGTAATAAAAGCCGATAATCTGTTTATCGTTTTTCCTGGCCTTTTCGTAGACAGTATTACGCTTGACAAATGTAAAGCTTTATAAAGTGTCCTCACACATTGTGACGTCGCTGATAATGTATGTTCATGTTTAAAAGGTGTGATAGGAGAAAAACAGAGTGACTGAGCAGAGTGATATATGCGAAAAAAAGGATGGTAAATAAATTTATCTTGCCAACGATAATTATGCAATAAATGTATTTCTATTTTATTTAAACATTTCAAGATCGTAAATGTTGGTTAGTACGGTTCATTATTTTTAATCCGATTTTGGTAATCACTTTCAGCTAAATAATCCGATGTTTTAATATAATAAATTGATATTAAATACTCCTTATTTTCGAACAACTGTCGACAGTTAGATTATCAAATTCATACTTTAATTCACACGATCTTTAGTTATTACACTTTCAGATATTTCAAAATGAATCCAAATTAAAATTGCTTGAATTAAAGAACCTTGAACTGGGTTAAGTGGTAATTGCATGTCTCGGAGTCGAAAATACCCATATTACCTCATGTATTCAACAAAAACATTAGAAATGAGTACATGTACTATTTTCTTACTGACTCAGATGAAAGCAATGATAAATTGATAAAGATAATTAAATGATCTTCAATCTCGTATTTTTTTATAGCATTATATTAAATAGATAAAAACAGAAGAGATGGGAGAGAGTACATACCATTGAGACAATTACAAAAACAATACAAGTTGAAGTAAATACACATGTACAGTTTATTTTCTATGCGAATCTGTAAAATATATTACGAATCAAAACAACATGAAATCAAATATAGGACAGACATACCTTTGACGTGGTCGAACATGACCAATTTAGAAGAATTATTTTGCACAAAAAAAATGCAGTTGGCATGTCTTACAATTAAATTGAGTGGACGTTTCTCCCTTCGGCGATCATCCGTGTTCTTATATTTGAAACAATCAGTTAGTTGTCATCCTTTACAGACTAACAATATTATATCCAACAAAATATACGCCAGATGGATATTTCCTATGGAAAACCCTTTATCTCCATGTTTGGTTTTGTTTCTGTTGCTGGATATAATTTTGAACATAATAAAATTACTCTGGTGTGAAAGCCATATTTGTGCTTTAAAGGAACCATTTGTTATACAGGATTTAAAAAAAATACATGTATCTAAGATCAAATTGAAAAAAAAAGATTTCTATACTAGCTAAATGAGTCATTGTTTATTTTTGCTATTTTGTTAAATCACAAAGAAATACATACCGATATAGTTTTGTAGTACTATTATATAAACGAATTCACGTATAAGGTTTAATTCCATCTTCAGATTATTAATAAACAAACGAATATGACGAATTCGTTATATAAAATAATGTCAGTTTTCTTTTGTCTAAGTTGTCATTTTCCCGTTAAATTCATATTTGATGATGTAAAAATATTGATATTTCAAATGACCATCTCAGTTTTTGAAATCAGATATCCTGGATACCTAAACAGCGTTTCTCAAAATATATAGATACGTTATTTCTTTGAAATGATACTTTCAGTAGAATATTAATGAAGTAATCTATTCGAGTACATTAACAAATGTTTCTCGTTCTAATTGGCATTTATGTAATGCTTGAATATACTTATTAAAATCTAATCTTTCACTTTCCGTCAGATTTAGTCGTTGCGGCGTGTAAGATCGGTTGCCATAGCATTGTGTTTTACAATAAATAAAGATATGCAGAATAAAGATATATGGATTCATGAAATATTGTCAATGCTCGGGTTAAAATGTAGCACAAAAAATGAAAATGTATCTGTTGTAATATTTCTTTATCAGGGTGCATTCAAATAATTAGTGTATTGTCTGCATTTATTTCTTTTACCAAAAATTAAACAGTCACTATCATCGAGTGACACATGGTGATGCATATTCATATTCTGTTTTCCGAAGAAAATGGCGCAATAAATATGGTAATGTAGTTACCTAAACCTCCCACTGATATGACTTGTAATATTGGTTATTGTTTCTTTATTCTTGGTTACATCTAAATCAAGGATTGTGTCAACAACCTTCACCCTGTAACGCTTCCCTGGTACTTTATCAAGTGCCTACAAAAGATTGGATACTAAATGAATTCTGATAGACACAATATGAAACAAGATGTGCTGTGAGTCATTGCTCACTAGTGATATCCCTGCTTTTTGATAGGTAGCCATCAAACTTTCACATTGATTTGTGATAGCCTTTTTGATTTATTTTGTGAAAACTGTTTGTGACGGACAGACGGAAAGCTGATTACTATAGGGCTCCTATGTCTGAATAAAAGGATAAGATATCAAATAAAGTTAGTGAAATATCTTATATCTAATTCATGAGATATCTTATAAAATAAATAAGATATCTTATAAACTAAACAAGAGGAGGCTCCGGGGTTCCCCACTGGTGCTAAAATATAATATTTCCATAAAGCACTTGTGACCTTGACCTTTGAATGACTAGAAACATCAAAATCAATAGGGATCTTCCTTACCTAATAACATTCAACTGTGTAAGTTTGAAGAAATAATATGAAGGTGTTCAAAAGTAACAGTCCAGAAACCGATTGTCAGCTGAAAATTCAACATCATTAAGTATCTGTGACCTCAACCTTTGACCTATAAACATCAAAATCAATACGGATCTTTCTTACCTAATAAACATTCAACTGTGTAAGTTTGAAAAAATTATATGAAGGTGTTCAAAAGTTACGGTCCAGAAACTGATTATGGACGGACGGACGGACGGACACCGGTATTTCTATGTCCCCTCCGGTGGGAGACAATAAGAGATCTAACAAAATTGTTTTATAAGATATCTTATAAATTATATCAGATGTCCTATAACATTCATTCTAATGCAACATTCGTTGTAACGTACGTACGTCAAATTTCATTGGATAAAGTCGTAATTTTCAGGGTATATATCAATCTGAAGATTTGGAGCCATCAATCTATGATTTGATGGTCGCAAATATCCGTTTACTGGCTCCGCTAACGTGTCGCTAGTAAACTCAATTTGCGACCATCAAATCCATGATTGATGGCTCCAAAACTGCAAATTCAATACAGTAAGCTCCTAATTGGATATCTTGAAAATCTTATATCTTCTAAGGTTTATGAGATATCTTTATAAACTTCTTTATAAGATATCTCATGAAAGATATAAAATATATTATCATATACTTAGACTAAATAACATATGATTTTTACCATATGATAATAGCATTACATTTACGTATATTCCATATTTTTTCGAATTGGTGCTTAGCGGTCTGATATGAAAAGTTTATCACATGCTTCGACTTTTATCACATGCCTTTCCGTAACGTTATATCATGGCATTCTGGTAATACTCGGCAAATTCTGGAAAATACACCTCAATGGTACGTTTTCAGTGAAAAACATTACAAAGTAGGGTACAAAACAATTATTTGTATACTGGAAAGTATATTGTGTAAAATGGAAAAAAAAACAAACAATAAACAAATGATAAAATAAATGCATTTTTAACATAATTTAGAAAGTTACTTTAAAAATGTTGACTTTTCCAAACAGTGTTTATTATGTATATTGTTGAATTATTTTTTTATCGTCCGTATTAAAATATAAAATACTGGTTTTTTTTCTTCATTGTTGAGGCATATGATAGAAAGATTTCATATCGATTGTACAACATTTCGGGTCTGACATCCGTGATTATCTTACCTCCTATACATTTCTAGGAATATGATTGGTTTAAAGCGTCCGCGGCGAGACTGTGTATATTTCATATTAGGTTAGTAAGGAGGCGGGGCTTATTTCATACACGGTTATTAGTGGAGTTACGTCCCTTTATATTCCATATAAGGTTAGAAGGTAGGCGGGCCTTATTTCATACACAGTTAGTAGTGGAGTTACGTCCCCTTTATATTCCATATAAGGTTAGAAAGGAGGCGGGGCTTATTTCATACACAGTTAGTAGTAGTGTTGCGTCCCTTTATAAAAACAAAACGGTACTGAGAAAAACATCTTAAAGATTTCAACAGACGAAGAAATTGATTATTAAGATTGAAATGAATTCATAAAACACATTTAAAGCTAACAAGTTGTTATTGTTGGCAGCTGTTTCTGTAGGATCAATGAGAGAAGTTTCTTAATGCTAAAAGTATTGAAGACTTCAGTGCTCATTTTGATAGGTCACTAGTCTAAATTTCACACATTAAGATAGTCGGTAAGATAAATTCGTTACATAGTGTGCTAGTGACGTAATACGGTATATATGGGGTCAGTAAATTCCATATGGGGATTCGAGCTTTGCTCTCACCCCATATGGAATTTACTGACCCCATATATACCGTATTAGGTCACTAGCACACTATATAACTTATAATATTTCACTCTTTGAACTGCTATTTAAGAACCACGTAAAAAGATCAATATATTAATCTGTTATTTTTCTCCATTGTTGAAGCATATGATAAAAAGATCATAGCATGTCATTTTTCATATCACATGTATTATTAGCCCTCGGCCAATATCAGCCCTCAAGCCATGCGGCTCTTGGGCTGATATTAAACCAAGGGCTGATAATACATGCGATATGAAAAATGCCATGTAATAATCTGATATTATACAAGATATCATAAATACTTTTACAAGATATCTTATAAAGTCAAGTTTATGAGACTTCTTATAAAGTGTATGCAATGATACTATTTTATATACAGTTATACCTACCCTCTTTCTTTAAGGTGGTAGTATTTCAGCTTCTGCAATCTTGTTCTTTGTATTTGTCTCAATAGTGTTCTCCTAAATTAAAAGAAAAGAAAAACTTTTTAAGAATATTTTAAACAAGGTACTAATTGAAATTGGAACAATAATGAATTCTGGAATACACATGATAATATTGAAGCAAAAACCAACCTATCTTAGAGGGTTTAGTAGTATATGAATGGGTTAGGGTTCAGTTGAGGTATGTTTTATACACAAATGATTTAGAAATTTACCCTTAATTTACCCTCAATTATGCATGCATGAATGCATAGTTTAACCCCTATTGGCCCTAAGTGTACATGTAAATTAGATCAATTAAAATCTTGGTTTTTATTTTAATAGATTTTTTACTAATGCTTAATGATGAAACTAGTTTACCAAATAAAATGTGCAAAAGCTTAGTGAATATGAAGTTGGAACTTTAAAGTTTAATGTTATTTCTGAATTGAAAGATCTTCTTATTCTTGTCATTTTAAAACTGAGTACATATGCAGTTTGACATGTAGTTACAATATGGATCCCATACATACATGACATAATAAACTCACTATTGACTATTGAGTATACATGTGTACAGGGAATCATATTTATACATGTATATGAAAAGACATACCTCCTCAACATGCTCAATACTGTTATTTCCAAATAGTTTTTCTCTACACAGTCTACAAATTGCTGTAATATAAAAGAAAATAGATACACAATTGATCTCATTCTGTGTATCACTATCAAAACTATTTAGGCCAAACAAAAAAATATGTGTGTTTACTGTCACTTGCTGAAAAAAAAAAGGTAGGTAGGTAGGGATTTTTTTTTTTTTTTTTACATTGAGTTTATGGGAGCAACATTGTGACTTTAACAGTACTTAATCAAAAATAGTCAAAAACACTTTAGGGTAGGGGACACAAATTAGGGTAAGTAGGGGTACAGTAAACCCACATACTTTTTTGTTGGGTCATATACTGAAATTAGGGTAGGTAGGTGTACAGTAAACCCACATACTTTTTTGTTGGGTCATATACATGTACATGTATGTACATAAAAACATGAATTTTAAAACATACATGTATCTCAAGTAAACATGAGTAAAAGAAGGCTGTCCGCGCCCTTATCGGAATATAAGCCTTCTGGCGCATACATGTAGTTGTGACAACATTAGGGCTATGTTGCGGCTTCATTGCACCAACATGTTGTGGCAATGATGCTGCATTAGTGTATTTCATATGCAAATTAGTTTTCTGGCACTGGTGCCAGAAAATGCTGTGGCTTCGTTGCCGCAACATGTTGTGGCTTCAATGCAGATATTGTTTTTTATTTTGTATGCAAATTAGTTTTCTGGCACTATTGCGCCACTAATGCCTTTAAATTCTGGCTTCCTTTAATTATTGACTAAAAAGGTAAAGTAACGTCTGACCAGGTAAGTTTAGTGCTAAGTATACCAGAGAAAAAGTTTTAACTCCTTAATTTAACGTTATGATTTTTTTGTGTGCTCAGGGTTATTATTATAACTTTTTTCTTTTAAAGAAAGTAAAGTTCTGTCCTCAGAAGTTATTCCTATATGTAATGTACTTACTTTTCCCACATTGAGGAAAAGGAAAGTTAAAATGTGTAACTCATGAACTGTCAACATGCAACATCTATACCTTCAATAACACCAACATAATTTCCATGATCCCAACAGGAGCCCCTTCACTTCAGTCAAAGGTGTTGTGTTTTGTCTGATTAGCAATCTAAATTCGTGATTATACTACATTTTTTTCCAAACAAATAGCACTTTCAAGCCGTCTTTTGAGGGTTACAAAGACATAATTGACCAAACTTCTTTCAGCATGCTCTGTAAAATTTTAGCAAGGGTTAAATTGAGAAAGGGAAGAGAAACCATGACTTATGTTTCAGAAGGTACCAATTCGCCCCATTAGATGATAGTTCGTCCCTGTTAATTAGGATTTTTTGAAAATGCTCTCCAGGTCTATCAGGAAGAAGACAATTTCCTTGATTTAATTAAATGAGAGATTGAACTTTTATATTATGCATTTAATTAATCATGTTAATCTAAGTTTACATACAAGTCTTCTCAATAACAGAACACCCAATTCTTCACTAAAATCATAAGCTCAAGCAACATATGGTCCACTTCTAACACACCACCATGACCACAGTAAAAAGCTCAAACACTGGTGACATCATCAATGACATTATCAATTTTCTGGCTCTATTCTGGCATCATTTTAGTAGATTAAGAATGAGAAAATTATATGTGTGCTTTATGGCAACATTGTGGCGCTTTTTGTCATGAAAGGAAATAGCGCTGCACTGTTGCCAGAATGATGCTAGCGGCATCATTCAGCACTTATCCGGCATCAATTTTCTGGCAACCTGATCAGCAGCCGCAACATTGCAGCATTGTTGCTGCAACATTTTTTATTTCATAAGGACCGGTATGAAATGATGTGATTATCATGTACAAAACCTTACAAATCTGGTAAAGGAAAGGAAACATGAAACAGCATTCATGTTATAATTTTTGTCTCTCAAAAACAAGATTCAAAGAACTTCACATAATTTTATGTTTTATAGTTTAAAAAGGGGGTATTAAAGAAGTTCATATGGCTGTCACATGCTAAAAACAATAAGCTTAAGGTTCATAGCCAAATGGTAGATAATATTAACCCTAAGGTTTTTTTTGTTTGTTTTTTTTTGGGGGGGGGGGGGGGGGGGGGGTACCTGACAGCTGCATTTGATTTCTTTTTTATAAGAGGTTTATCACTGTATCTTTTTTAAAGAAAAATGGTATTAGGTAAATAGTATCTACTTACATGTTCCAATAGCAATGAAAATGCCTGTCTTTGTAACAATTCTTTGAAACATCTCGGGTGTAACATGTCGATCCACTGCTTTTGTAGTATTATGATATTTCAAAATGACATTTACTGAAGGCACACCACAATCTTTCCTTCTATATCTCTTGTTAGTTGTTTCGATGATAATATTTCTATGAATATCACAGATCCTCAGTTGTGACGTACAATGTAATGTCAGATTTAAGTAAAGAAATTTCTGACAAAAATTTTTACATGTCTCTTTTTCCAATGGAAGCATTTTCAAAAATACCTGTCGTCACTGCAGTTGTCACAATTGTCTACGAAATCTTTTATGCTACACATTTTATAACAATTATTCGAAGATTATATAAATAAATACATTAAAAAAGTTAGTTACGGTAAGCAAAATAAACTATAAAATACACTGTCTTAATTAGTACAGACACAGTTCCATTGTTCTGACAATATTTTCAAAATATGAGCAAATCACACCAACTTAACCATATATATAAGTGTAGGCTAACATCACTGTGAAAAATTTATCCATTTCCCATTATGCTTGAATATAAAACATGAAGAAATTCGCAAAATAACATTGTTGTCTGCAATTGTTTACATTTTCCCTCCTGTTTTTAATTTGTTTCTCTACAAGAGAACTCCGTAAAGGGAGGTAATTTGATTAGGTAACTACAGGACAACTCAACTTTTCAGGGTCAATTAATTTCAACACAGTGAAGTTTGCCCACTGATTTTTTTTCTTTTCTTGTATAACCTTAATCCATTCTCTCTATTCATATAATCAACAATATAAGAAATGGCTGCATTTTTTTACAACACCTGATCAAAATAGGCTCTAAAACCCCCCTTTTATTGCACTTTTTACCCTATTTTAGCTATATAGATTTTTTTTAAGAAAGTTTACTGTTGAACACAATTTTTATTTGTTTTTTTTAAACTGAAAAAAGTTTTAAATGTCTGAATATCTATATTATTTTCTTTTTATTAGACATAATTGATGATAATTTGTAAACACTGCATTTTCCCTCTTTCTTGCCACTTTAAGTCCTGTTACCAAGGAAACGGTAAACATATGGGGCTAAGTGTAATAATATTTTTTGTTAAGCTCATGTGGCTCTATTGAACTAATAAAGTTTAAAACAAATATTTTTTAGTGCGTGCCGAAATATTTTGGTGATTACAGAGAATTGCTCTTAATGTATGGACTTTTTCATATTGGCCCGGTAACATGCCCAAGGTATTAATAATGGCCAAGGATGGTTGTAATGGCCCCGAGGCAGCGCCGAGGGCCATTACAACTGTCCGAGGCTATTATTAATACCAAGGGCATGTTACAGGGCCAATATGAAAAAGTCCATATATTGATACTTTTATTAACCAACTAAGGCAACTTCATTCAAGAACAGTCTTCGAGTCTCGGATCCAAATACAGCTAACCACGAATCTATAACAGGACCAATACAAAAAAAAAAGCCAGTTCATAACACTTTTATTACCGTAAATGGTTTTAATTCTTCGATTAAACAAAGAGTAAGAATCTTACCGTGAAGAAGATACAGGAATTCATAGATCTGAACTTGTCTTTTCGCATTCACGATGGATTTTTAATCAACATTGTCAGATGTAATTTCTGATTTCTCATCCAAGTACTTTATTTTATGCTATTACAATTCATTTCATCTAGCAAATATAAAGTAGCTGGGAAGAATAAATCAGACAGTTTAACTATTCTTACTCTGAGTAGTCTGCGTTCTGATAATGATCAACGGAAATGAAACAGTGATAATAATCGGAAGTCGTACTCGAAAAAGGCTGTGTAATATTTCCGTTTCAAGTCGTTAAAAAACACTGTTCAAACATTATTTAAACTTTTTTTTATGATATTATTTAAGTTAAAAAAATTTTTTAAAAAGTTTGTCACCTATTTGAAGAAATAAACGACATTTTGATTTAATCGATGTCCCGTTTCATCTGTTCATAATGCATGGCTGTGATTTCGTAATACACGGGTGTGATGTCGTAATGCATGACTGAGATTTCGTAATGCATGGCTGTAGCAATTTCTCCGTTCATAATGACCAGTTGTCGAAATTTTCCTTTTATAAAGCATGGGCATTTCTATACATATTGTAGTAAGTTGGTTAATAAAGTTCCATTATATAGTGCAAGCAATCCAAAACAGGCATTATGGATTAATTCGACGAAAATTTGGATTTTGCAAACATACAAACGTCAAAGATATACAACATGAATAGATAAAATTAAAAACCGATTGTTCAGAGAACAATTGAAGGTCTGTCCACCCCAAAAAGACATATCTTAATAGGAAAATATTCAATTTTGGTTTCAAACGTCAATTCCGGGGTAAAATATTAGCTTATTTTATGCTGATTCCGAAAATATATGGTTTACATATACTATTGCTAAAAATAAGGGATATAAGTAGGTACTTCCGGTTTACAAATTCTACTTCCGGTTACATTTGAACCTTACGGTACTTTACACTCATAAAAAAATACAAAGTTCTAGTAAATTATAGAGAATTGAAAATATTGCAAAAATGGACACTTCCAGTTTACAAAAGGTAACCTCCGGTTGAATTTCTTCAAGGTCATATATCTGTAACCAAATTTGAAAGACCTTTTGACTTTATCTTGATCTAATAAAAAGTTAGAGCAAAAGTCGAAATGTAGAACATCAAATCAAACTTTGACCTTGACCCCAATTTCAAGTTCATTGAACAAGGACATCAAATCAAAAGACTCTAGGTCTCTACTATATATGGTTAATGCGTTTTCTAACCATACAGCTTATTTTAAAGATAACAGGGGAGAAAACTCCCAGTAAATATCAACGTACCCTTTTAACCAAAATTTATGTGTAACGACATGTCGCAACTTACAATTCTGTAAAAAATATTTTGTCGATATCTTATATGGTTTCTGATAATAAGTGATAACAAATCAAAATCAAAATTAATAACATGACCTTGACCTTTGACCTTGACCTAATTTTCCTATGTGTCTATGACTTATGGTTTATGAGTTACTATAACTTTTCACTTATGTTAGATAAAGAGGAAAAATTCTCATATGGAGTCTTCGAAACGTTTCGGTCAAAATTAAATGTAACATTCAGAGGAAATAACTTGTTATTTGGAAAAGTAAATTTCTTTGACCGATGGGAAAAGAAGTCATAACAAGAAAAACAGTGTTCGGAGAGATAACTCTCACAAAGAAAGGTGTTGGGTTCAACAAGGTCAGTTTCAATCGCGTATACACTTTACAAAATCATATACAAAACATTTAAGCGACATCTTTTGAAACATCTATACAGCCAAAGAATAAAATTAGGCGGAAGAAATAAAATTAAAAACCAGTGGAGAGATTCGAACATACGGAGTGTGGGAACAGTCACATGTCAGAGGGTTTGAAAGTATTCTTTCAAATCGAGGTCTTGCATTTTTTATTTATAGTTAAATACCGTATATTGTGTTGTCTTTCGCCGATGTAAAATTTCGCGATTTCGGGGCTGCAAGTATACGAAAATACTACTATTTAGGAGATATTTAATTGGAGAATTGTTTTTGTTCAAAAAGGGACCTAAGCAAATTTCTATAAGCACATCTATTAATTCTTTAATTGATATCAATTTCATGTTGTAACTAAAAAAACTGTTTCCCTTGTTTTTTTACAAAGATCGAGTAAAAAATCCAACAACTAATCGATAGTGTCTTAAACAATACAAATCAGCCAATATTAATCAGAAACGCTGCCAATATGATATGTGAGATTCTTGCTATTTTTTGTGCCTGCAAAAGTGCCTTGTATACGCACTAATTTTCGAAGATTATATTCATAATCAGAACATCTCCACATGAATTATTGTATTGTATCGCTACGAGGAAATTCAACAAATCTATGGAAAATATCATGATTTAAAAGCAAATATATCTTTTATAAATTGCCTTTCATTTTCTGTTTCACAACGACCAATTTCTAATGAAACTTTTCTCGATGGACATCGCGAAATTGCACTTGACATCTGACATCAGTACGGTTGTAAATCTCCTTACAAAAATAGGTTGGTGATTGGCGTTGTCCCTATCTTCAAGCTGAAGTCCTTTTAACATAACAATATCCTAGTTGAAAGTACAGACATAAATCCTAATAAGTTTTGTGTAATAGACGTCCGTAAGAAAGAAGATCGGACTTCGGTGGCAAATCTCTCCACTGAATTTAACAAAACATTTCTGTAACAAAATACAGCAATTTAAAGATTATCCACATTGCATTAACTTGTTCTTAAATCAAATATGCATTGCTCCTATCACTATTCGTTTTTCAAGAACAACTTTTGCAAAGTTTTGAGATGATTGGATAGATAATGAGGAGGAGTTAGGAATCCCTTTTTCTTTTTGAATAAAGAAGTTTGTCGTTATGTTGATTTCACATCAAAGTACAACCCACAACTCCTTTTATTCAAATGATATAGAAAAAAGACCGATGCTACTGTGTAGAATGACTAAGTTTCCTTAATAAGTTTATGTTATCTTGATAAGAATATTTTACAAAAGATTATTGAGGTCATAATGTCTTGCCTATATTCAATATAATAAGTGTGAAATGGTACATTAAAGGTAAAGAACATTTAATCAAAACTAATGTGTATAACATTTTTAAAGTGTTAAACTTGTAGGTATTGATTCCTAAGCTAGGTTTAATATGTATAAGCATTCTAGTATGAATTATAAAGTGTCCGTCGAATGTGTACATTTTGTCATAATTCTATTTTATCAGACTATATTTGTCTGGCAAAAAACGTATATTTTCTCTCAAAGCTTATTATAGGTTACTTTGGAACGAAACTCTCAAAAAATTATGTATTATTAAATGCTGAATCAAAGATAAAAAAAAGGTTTTACATAAATTTATAAAACAAGATTGCTAAAGTTCTATTAAAGATTTCCAATAAAATGACTTTACTCGACATAACCGACCTAACTCGACGTATTTCATCCTATTGCATTGAAGCATTACGGAGGGGAGCATACACTGCATGTATTTTTTTCTCTTTGAACAGGCATTTTTTGCTGATATAGACTTAATATAAAAACCAACCCCAACTACTTTTTGTAATCTTTAAATATTTTGTTATTAAATTTTGAATGATTTTATTGACACAAATATTTTAATGGAATAAGTAAGCTAGCAACTTGTAATCAAATGTACCCATCATTTCTAGTCATTTCACTTGACCCATATTTCAGTTCTTCTCAAAATATGAATTTTAAAAACTACCAAGTAAAAATTAAGCATGAAAATATTAAAAGTATGAAATCCGAAGCGAGAAGGTTATCTTTTTTTCTTTTATAAGTTTTAACGTTTAAAAGTAGAATCCAACACACCCGAATGAAAAAGGTGTATGCGACTAATTTTTTTTTTTAAACTATTTTTGTATAATTTAATTCAAGATAATTTGACGTGGGCAGAAATTCCTATCATTTATACATTTATCAAATAGTACTTTTTCGTCTTTAGCTATAATAATGCATGGGACGAGTTTTTTGTCCATGTACTAGTATACCTAACATGCATTCGGGGATACAGGGGTAGAGGGGGTACTTCACCCTTTCGATCGCCAAAATAATTTTGAAATCTC